AAAATAGACTACATATATTTTATGCATTCTTGACATACCTAACTTGTTCTTAATTTTTTTGATATTTCTAGGTTGCAAGGTTTGTCTGCAAGTTTTTTGAAATTGGTACAAATCTCTAAAAAATTTTCCAATATATTTATTGAAAAAAATCTATGTATAGGTGGATTCACACAGTTCAACCCCATGTTGTTCAAGGATCAACTGTACTTAGTTTTGTGTTCTGTGCTGAAATTGAGAATATCCTAGTTTAGTGTGCTAATGTTTTTAAGAATAATAACTTTGAGTACATACCACGTACCGCATACTGTTTTAAAGGCTTTACTTACAGGCTTAAGCTTCGATAAATCCTCACAACCCTGAGAAGAGTAAGTACTGTATTATTTCTGTTTATCAGGTGAAAAAACTGAGGTTTACAGAAGTTATGCTTCCTTCTAAATATGCAGTTAGGATTAGGTGCCCTTGCTGAATTTTAGATGATGTTTTGCTGTTAGCCGTAATGGTTGTTTTCAAGGCAGACCAAATTTGAATTGGTTTTACATGAGGGGAAAAAACCCCTACAGTTTATGATCTTTGTAAAGCTGAAGTGACTCAATGTTTATCTTATGTGCTACCTGAGTATAGCTCTGTGATGGAAGTCAGATAAATTCGATTTCCCTTTTTTCCTAGGCCAGACCAGGGTATCAGCCGTCTGGAGAATCTGATAAAGAGAACAAAGTGCAGGAACGTCCCCCAAGTGCGTCTTCCAGTAGTGACATGTCTCTCTCAGAACCGCCACAGCCTCTTGCAAGGTAAAAAGGGGAAAATGAAAGATGATTAAGGTTCCTTCTTTTCATGAAGTTTAGTAGAGTGGTCTGTGCTCAGTGAATTTTGTTCACTGACTTTCTGTGTCAACAAGATGGCAAAGAGAGGTTTATTTAGAAATTGTGTAATATTGGCTGGTCCGATGGTACTGGGAACTTATTATTAACATTAGTGTCACTAAAGTTGGTATACAGCCCCTCACTGCTAAATTTGACTGGCTATAGAAGAAAAAGAAAAGAAATTGTTCAGTATCTCCTGATGGATACTTAAGCATGGTTTACGTCTCTACTTACTACTACTCTATTGTTCAGATTTCATCTGTCCTTTAATCTAATATAAATGTCAATTTCTAATACGTTGAAAAGCATTCTTGCCTTCTCTGAACTAAACGCAATAAAAGTTTGTTGGATGAATGAATCACAATGAAATTAACATTTTAAAGTATTTTTGGTGAATAATTTTTAAAAGGCATTTGTGTATACATTGCTGTTCATAATTTCTTCATATAACTCATACCAATTTATGCATCTTACCTTTCAAGAGCTATAGTTAGATGTGCGTGCGAACATATGAATAAAGACTAGGAAGGGATCTAATTGAATTTCACATTGTTGACTATTTTTCCTTAAATTTCCTTAGGGAAATTTTTTGCTATAATGTATTCTTTGCAATAAAGTAAAAAAACTATTTAAGCATGAAAGTTAAGGTGATTTTTTTATTACAGGGTTATAAATTATGCTTTGTAATAATAACCATTTT